CCACCCAAGACACGATTCTGTAAGCGGAGGCTTGAGAGGGATTCGTGTCCGTTTCTTCTGAATTTCACTCTCCTTTTCCGGTTCTTCCGACTCGATCTGATTATGCCCGTCCCCATTTCACGCACTCAGCCTCCGGGCAGGATTCCTCACCCAGCTTCCGTTTTCGCTTACTAGATATGATTCTGTCCGTCGGGTTCTTGCCTTATCAGATTCTGTCGCGCGTTAGATATTGAGCGTTAGAGAGAGAGAGAGAGAGGGAGAGAGAGGGGGAGAGAGATGGAGAGAGATGGGGAGAGATGGGGGGAGAGACGGGGAGGGATGTGGAGATACGGGGGAAGATGGTGGGAGATGGGGAGGGATGGGCAGAGATGGGCAGAGATGGGCAGAGATGGGCAGAGATGGGCAGAGATGGGCAGAGGTGGGGAGAGATGGGGAGAGGGGGGGAGGGGCACTTGAGGATGACGTGGTACGCCACGCTGACAAAGGCGAGGGACCAGTTGGAGAAGGAGATGTCGAGGGCGGAGCCGAGCCCAATCGGCAGCGCCACGCGCACGAAGCTGGAGAGCGGCAGCGGCGGCGGGCGGAGCGGCGGGAGGCGGGAGAGCAGCAGCGCGCCGGCGGCGACGAGCACGTTTGTGCAGCCGACGAGGAAGAAGGGTGCGCGGAGCTTGACGTCGGAGAGGAGGTGCTTCATCATGAGCGTCACTCCGATCGAAGACCCGTACCTGCGACACGCCCGCGCGCGGCGTCGACGCGCCGCGGACACATGTGCATGAACATGTGCGACGCCCTCGCCTCTGCAGCTGCGCGCCACGCCACGACTGCGACCGCCATCCCCAAGCTCATCTACTTCCCCATACCTCCCCATACCTCCCCATACCTCCCCATATCTCGTGCAGGTGCTGCACGGACTGCGCCTCATCTACCTCCCCATCTCTCCCCAGCTCTCTCTCTCAGTTGCGGCGCGCCACGCCACGACCGCGACCGCTATCCCGAGGCTGCGAGCCAGCCAGCCCTTGCTGTCCTCGGTCACGGCGGCGGCGGTGTCCGCGGCGGCCAGGCTTGACGGGCCCGCCTCCGCGCTGCTGGGAGAGGGCGGCCGCCGACGGAGTGGCCCAGCGCCAAACTGCAGCCCTATTAGCAGAGAGAAAGAGACCGGTCTCGCAAACACACAATTGGGCGTGGCAGCGTGGCAGTCGCGGGCCGGTGCCGATCTCGACGCCGCTGCCGCCGTCACCGACGTTGAAGCGGTCGGAGCGAGCCGCCGTCGTGACCAGGGGCTGGGCTGCAGTGCGCTTCCCAGCACTGCAGCGCACCGGGCCTGCCAGCGACGCCTGCGGCGACTCGCCTTCCCTCGCCGGGCCAAGCGCGGCTGGGCTGCTGTGGCACGAAGACGGATCGACTTGCGACTCGCCGTCCGGCTGCGGTGGGTCGTCAGGCTGTGCTGCGGCTGGCAGCGTGTCCGAGTCTGGCGCCATCTGCAAGTAGCCGACTTTCGACGGAGGCACGGCGCTGCTGCCAGCAGCCATGATCTCACGAGCGGCGCCAGGATGTCCGTCTGCGTGCGCGCGTGGGTCGTCGGAGGCAGCAGCAGGCGAGGCTGAGGAGACGAAGGTCGCGCTGGGTTCTTTCTTCTTCTGATGAACGCCGTCTGCTCCCGCTTCAGGCGCCATGGCCGCGTACAACTTTCTAGGGAGAAAAATTCTTGAAGAAACGTCCTCCATCTGGCTTCTTTGCTCCCCGGCCGGCCCTGGATCTCCACTCCAGGTGCTCCAAAGTTGTTTGTTTTCGATCCTTGGTCTTCACGGCGGAGACGCGCACGCGGAGTCCGGCGCGAGGGGTCGTTCGCCAATGATTTCAGTCTCATCTCCCAGGGATAGGGCACTCCCTGCCACGCCTTCGGCTCGCGGGCGAGAGCGCCTTGGGCAAGTCGCGGATATCGGCGATCGTCACGTCCGCCGCGCCGAGTGCGGCCTCGGCCTCCTTGCGCCTCGCCTCACGCTCCTCCTCGCCCATGGTGGAGAACCAGTAGGAGCTCGCCGCCGCATCGTCGGGCGACGAGGCGGGCTGCCCCTCGGTGCCGCTCTCGCGCGCCAGCCACACCGACCAGGCACCGAGCCGCTTGGCCGCTCGCACCTAAGGGAAGGGGAGGGAAGGTACGCTTCTCTCTCTCTCTCTCTCTCTCTCTCTCTCTCTCTCTCTCTCTCTCTCTCTCTCCACACACACACACACACACACACACACACACACACACAAGGAGGGTGGGGCGAGGGCCGGGCAGCCCTCGCAACTCCACGTCTAGACGACAGGAGCGCCACGGCATTCAAAGTGCAAGGCCCGGTGCGCGTGGGTGAGCGGTGTGTGTTGAGTGTGTGCGCTCGCACCTACGCCGCGAATGCACCAGAGCCCGGGCGTGGAAGATGGTGCCGTGCAGTGTGTGTTCGGAGCACCGCAGCGAGTACGAGGGCTACTCTGCGGCTAGAAAGGAAGCGAGTGCTCAGAGGTAGCGACTGCTCGGCGGGAGACATGGGGCTTCCGCAGTCTAGAATTCCCGCGCGTCATTGATCAGGTCGTCGCCCACGTGGCACCAGCTCGCGGGAGTGGGCCGCTGGACGCCGGCCCTGCGCAGCGCCGCCAGGAAGGGCGCCGCCGCCGGCTTGCGCTCCGGGTAGATGCCGCCGTCCTCCGCCGAGACGCTAAAGTCGAAGCACGCTGCGAGCGCGGGCATCGCGAGTGGGTCGCCGCGCCCGTTTGTGACGGCGGCGAGCACCGCCGCTGGGTGGTCGCGGCGAACCGCGGCGACAGCCTCGGCCGCGCCTTCGAAGAGGAGCCGCCCGGCGGCGGCGTGCCGCTCCGCCAGCCACATCTCGAAGAAGCTCTCCGCCTCCGCTCGCCGGCTGCCGCTCGGGTCGCGCTCCAGCAGGAAGCTCTCGACTGCGATGATCCGCGCCTCGCTGTACGACGGCTTTGGGCCGCCGGCCGAGCGCGCATCCTTCAGACGCGCCTGCAGGTCATCTTCATCCGCGCCGAGGGCCGAGGCGAGTTTGGCGTTCGCCGCCCGAACCACGGGTCCGGTCGGCCACAATGTGTCGTCGAGATCGAAGGTGATGAGCCGCAGCGAGGCGAGCGCGCCAGCAGATGACGAGGCAGAGAGGAACAGCATTCTTGTTTGTTTTGTTCAGGACACCCGACATTCTGACTTGACAAGAAGAATTTTCTGTTCGCACACACATAGCGAAGAGAGACGCGAGAGACGCTTGTAGCCTGGCGTTTGTGCCCCGTTTGTGCCGCGTCCCGTGCCCCCGAGTTCATTTTATAATAAAAAAGAGAGACGCGACACTGCCTCGGCAGCGTGCACCTCGATCCTGTACCGTGTTTGTTATGACCCCCCCCCCATGAACAACCAGTGATTAAGGAAGGGAAGTCCGCCGCAATCGGGCAATGTCTGTTCCGAACACGCGCCACATGCCACGCCCACCGCCGCCGCGTCGGTCGGCGCGCGCCGACGCTAACCATCACCACCGACCGACGGCTCGCACGGCCGTGCGGTGAGCAAAAATTTGGGTTGCTGCGCGCCTGCCGGATGCTCTGCGACGTCTGGACGCTCGCCAGAAACGCCAGGAAGCTTGCCTTCCACCCCTGGGCCCGAGGGCGAACGGCAGTGGTCGGCAGCCTCTGCGACGCTCCGATCGGCTCCTCGACCTCATCGCCTGCGACGAGCCAGCATGGCTCGTCGCTCGACGGCAGCCTGCCCAGTATGCTCTTGGCATTCTGTACAGCCTCGCCAGGCTCTCTGAGACGGCCTGCAGGGCCGGCGCGGACCGCCTCGGGCGCGATGGCCCTCCTCAGTACCTACCTCTTCGATGCCTGTCGGCTCTCCAATCTCGTCGCCGACGGCAGGCCCGCATGGCGCGCTGCTCGATGGCAGCCTGCTCAGTACGCCTGGACAGTGACTTCTGCTTCGCTGCTCTTACTGCAGCCGCCTCCGGGGCCGGCGCCAGCCGCCTCGCTTCGCCAGTGCTGTCTACGCCGGCGACACGCGTGTCGGCTCGCCGCCCGCGTCGCCCGCGGCGGGCCCGCATGGCGCGCCGCTCGTCGGGAGCGTGCCCAGCAGGCTGTGCAGGGCAGTCTGCCTCACTCAGGGCGCCGCCGCCGCTGCGCGGGGCCGCCACCGGCGCTGCTGCTGTGAACACTGCCGCCGTGTACGTCACCATCGCCTCTCTACGTCGCCGATCTCGCCGACGCCGCTCGCCGCTCGCCGCCGCCCTGCCCTGCCCCGCCCAGCCCTCGCACAAACAAACACACACACACACACACACACACACACACACACACACACACACACACACACACACACACACACACACATACACGACACACACTCACTCACACACACACACACACACACACACATACACGACACACATACACATACAGACACACAAAACACACCCTGCCCCAACCTCGAGCGCCCCGCGCCCTCCCGCACGGGCGTGGGTGGATAAAAACGGGTCACTTTGCGGGGTTTGCCGCCACAACGCTCGGCGAAGGCGGGGTGGTTTTAGATACTGATGAAAACTGTTATGAACATGTGTCCTTCCGCACAGCGCGCCGACGAGATGTGCTATGATTGCGTATCGTAATGGGGGCATGGGGCCCAACACGGCCAATAACTAGCTAGCACGATTAAATTTTACGACAGATTTCAAGTACCAACAAAATTCTCTCTGGACTCTGAAAAAAACTGTGCGTTAAATTTAGGATTGTCTCTCTTTTTTCTTTTTTCTTTGTGCGTTAAAGCCACAAAAAAGTTTTCCGCAAAAATAAATATGTTTGCCGCCTAAGCGACTCCTGCAAGGACACAAAAAGAATTCAAGAATTTTACAACAAAAGGCGGTGTGCTGCGTGGTGCACGTCCTCGGCGAGCGGGGCGGGGTGCGCGCTGTGCCTCAGGTTCGTGCGTCGCCCATCTGCATCTCTTTGGGAGATGTCTGCTCTATTTAAAGGCGGTCGCACAGCAGGTCAGCACGATTCACGCGACAGACAAGGCGCACAAAAAGAATTTTACAACGAGCTCTCTCCGCACACGACACACAAAGAATTTAAGATATAGAAAAGATTTTTTCCATGCCCAGAGGCCCAGGAAGGCGGCAATGAAGAAAGATGAAAGTAAAATAAACCTTGCTGCAGCACTCGCTCGCTCACTCCTTTTGATGGGTGGTGTGGGTCGCTCACTCACTGCTCACTGCAGAGCAATGCTGGGCATGGGCATGGCCCGCGAACGCCTCTGCGGCGGGCGCCGCCTCGCCCGCAACTGGCGCACTGCCAAGGCCGGCAGCAGCACAGCCACGGCCGCGAGGGCAAGCAGCGGCAGCGCCGTCGGAGGCGCCGCCCCGTCCGAGTACGAGGCGCGTAGATATGCTTTTGGCACCGCGGTCCCGTTGCCGGCGGGAGGCGCGAGGAGTTGCACATACACGGGCCTGAGGCGTGAGGGTAGATAGAGGGCCGTGACAACCGTATTGCGTGCGCCTGCGGCTTCGACGCGGCGTGTGTGTGTAGAGAATGCAGCCCAAAGGCCGACGCCACGGAGCGGGAAAGTGGCGCGCCGGCCAGATACAGGATATGCGTTCAGCATCTACAGGCGGCTGAACCCGCCCACCCCCTCGAGGAGGAGCGGAGGCTGGCAGCGACGCGAGGAGAAGACGCGCGCAATGCGCGACTGGTTGCCACACTCGCCTCGCCACACGTCGAAGGCGAGCGTTGTCCCGTCCGACGGGTTGCACGTGCTCAGGCTGAGCGGCCGGTGGCCAACAGGTGAGAGCGTGAGCCAGACGGCTTCTGACTGTGGCCAACCGTCGCCAGTGAAGCTCCAGCCGTCGCCGTCGGGCGCAATGCCGTCGTCGTCATCGTCGTCGCGCGGCGGGTGAAACGGCAGCGCGTTCGAGCAGGTGGCGCCCATGCCTCTCTCTAATAAGATGGGCACGGGACGCGTCTGCACCAGGGCGAAATCCGGCGGGCACCAGGAAAAAGAAAAGATGATTATGTTCTTTTGCTTGGCGTCGAACACCGTTCGAGGCGCTCGACTAGACGACACGCTCGAGCGACACACAGACACACACAAGCTCACAAGTCGTGAACTCGGTGACTGGTGATAGTTATTAAAACTCCTGGGCTCTCAATGCCTAGCCCGCCGTTCTGTCAGCCGCGGCCCGCATGTCCAGACAGTGCGGGCCTCGACGCCACACTAGGTCCATTGGGTCGCCCAGGCTCCCTGCTGGGCGGCTCGCGTCGTGTTTGTAACGGTTCGAAGAAGCTCTTTTTGTTCCACGGTTCCACCGTGAACAGGAGATTGGTCGAGGCTATGCACAAGCGATGCGCGTAGACTCCGTGTGGCTCTGGGCTGCAGCCTGTTAGAGAGCCGAGTCGCTTTAATAGCACGGCCGGGCACGGTCGTACCTCGCGTGCCCTCTGTGCGAAGACAGAAAAGTCTCAGAACAAAAACGCGGACAACCCACACTACCTGGCGAGGTACTCCCACGCCTCTCGGGGTCGAACGTAACAATACTCCACATCCACTCGCACAAGTCAAATTCACGAGAGCACCCACACCCTCGCCCTCAATTCCGCTCGCGACGTCTTCGCCGCTCTCCGCGTGGAGCGATGCTCGGCGGCTCTATATCATCGCCATGGCGCCCGCGACGGCGAGGACGGCGTTCATGCCGGCGTAGACGTAGTGGACGCTCGGCATCGCCGCGGTCGGCGCCGCGAAGAAGATCTGCAGGCCGGCGAAGACGAGCTGCGTGACGGTGAGGATGGCGTAGTAGGGCTTGGCGGCCATCACGTCCTTGGCGTAGTACTGCAGGGCGCCGGCGAGGAGGAGCGCGCCACCGAAGAAGCGCGTCATGGTATCGAGGTAAGACTTCGACTCGGCCGTCCACTTGGCCTGGTAGCCGGCCCAGTCGAAGCCCGGGTAGTTGATCATGAAGAGAGCGTCGGAGCCGCCGGCGAGGGCCGGGAGGCCGACGCTGGCGGACAGGAAGAGCGCACCGCCGGTGATGACGTCGCCCGCGCTCACGCCGCCGCGCAGCTTCAGAACGGGCTTCACGACCGGCTTCTCGACCTTGAGAGCGGCGGTCGAAGACCTGAGGAAGGAATTCGTGGCGCAGCTGAGCGAGGCGTGCGTAGATAAAACTGAGCGCTGCACTGTCAGATGAGCGAATCGCGCGTGCGTGCGTGCTGAAATAAAATGAGCGTGCGACGATGCAGTGAGCACTCACGCGAGGAGAGCGAGGGCAGCGAGCTTGAGCGTGGGCATATATGTATTTTCTCTCAGGAGTGTAGCGCCCGGCAGCGGTTTCTTTGTTCACGTCCCTAGGTGTTAGACACACAATGGGGGAGGATTGAACACACAGGATACACGTGAATCCACACTCAGTCTGGATACACAGTGGATACACAGTGAGATACACAGCCTCCGGTTTCGAAGACGATGGAGGGGGCTGATGATCGTCTTCGAGCGCCTGTGCCTTGGGTCGCGCCAGCGGGGAACAGGTAAGTCAGGCGGCATCGACGATGAACGGTCACGAAACCCACCCCACCACACTGAAAGACCACCGGCCAGTTGACGACACACTCCCAGGCGCCCGCCGATGAAGCTGGGAGGATGTATGGAGGAATGGTAACGACCTCTCCGGATTGGTTGAGCCCCGGCATCGACGGCGGGAAGAGCGAGGATCCCCGCCCCATCCCTCAGTTCAATCCCCGAGAGGAGAGGCAGAGCCTCTGGCGCGGTGAGACCACCCGTAAGCTCTCAAGGCCGACCTCCCATCTTCCCCTCTCGCACAGGGCCAGTTCAATCCCCGAGAGGGGAGGGCACAGACAGGGACAACAGGCAGTTCAAACCACAAGCGGCAGCGGCGCGCGCGCGCACACACAAAGACGCTGCCCCCTCACACCCCGCACCGCACATCACACACCCCTCGTGGCCGTTCTTCAGTCTGCGGCCAGGGCGCGCTGCACCGGGCCGACCTGCGGCCGTCGCTACGAGCGGCGGGGCTCAACGCGGGGCAGCGCGCCGACGACGTCGAATGCGCCGCCGTGGCATCGCGGCGCCGACGACCAGGCTCAGAGGATGACCCCGGGTAAGCGTTCCCGTGCCTCGACAACTGCCGCTGGTAGGCGCGCCGCGCCGAACCATGGCGGGCGCGCCGCGGCCGCGCGCAACCTTCGTCACAATGCCAACCGCGCGCGGCCGTCGACCGGCAAGCACACACCTCGACTCGGACACAGTGTTCCGGGGGCAAGGGAGAGGGGCTGGCTCCTAGCCCGAGAGGAGAGCTTCCGAGACCCACTACAAGACCACGCACGCATCATCTCGCGACCAGTCTTCGCGTGCCGCCTGTCGTTCGCTCGGGCGCCTTGGGCGTCGGGGTGGCGAGCAGGGGACGCAGCTCTGAGCGCCCAGCGACGCGTGCCGGATGGAGTCCGGCCGCGGGTGACTAGGGAAGTTCGCTGAGGATGTGTGGCAGCCGCCCCGTTGGCTGAGTGTCTTGTCTTGTGGTTCTGTGTGTCGCTCCTGTGTGACCGTCATCGCCCGTCTAGCGTCCACCCATACGGCTTTACCGCGTTGGTGTCCCAGTCGTTGGTCGGACTGTGTTTCGCCTTCCTATCTGTCTATATCTAGGGGGTTGTGCTCTCTAGGCCCCTAAGGGCCCTACGCGCGGCGTGAGAGCTCAAGAGTGTACGAAAGAGCTACATACATTGAGTGGGGCCTCGAGATAGAGAACACAACCCCCTCTCTCTTTTCTCCCATGCTCTCTTGTCGGCCGACGGCTTGCCCTCTCGCCGGTCCCCCCTAACCCACCCCTTCTCGAACCGCCACTCATGCCACCATGGCGCCCCAGCCCGCCTGCGAGAGCGCGCAGTCGACCCGATCGTCGAAGCCCTCCCAGAAGGCCGCCCCGAACGGCGGCGGCGGAGATTGCGACGGCGACGGCGGCGACGGCGCTGCAGCGGGCGGCGACGGCAGCCGCAGCGGCGGGAGGGTGATCGGGTTGAGCGTCCGGCCCACGCGAAACACCACAGACTCGTCGCGCCCGCAGGGGAGGGGGAGGAGGCCTTTGAGCTCCTCCTCCGTCTCCTCCCGCAGCACCACCAGCCGCGGTCCGGCGGATCCCGCCGTCTGGTTCACGACGCGATGAGGCGGCCATCCGAGGCGCGACTTGTAGTTCCAAACGCCGACGGTGCGCACATTCCCGCAGCGTGTGTCCGCATCCATGACCACGCGCACGCGAGCGGCCGGGGTTGTGACCCCCCGCGACTGGCAGAGGGCGCAGAAGTGGTTCCGAAACGCCGCGGAGTGCTCTGCTGTCTGGTGGACGCCGGCGGCACCCAAGAGCCGGCCCCAGCAGGTCGTGTTCGACCGCCTGCGCTTGTGGGAGGCCGCTGCGAACTCGTGCTGGCTCTCCATGGAGCCGAGGCCATCATCCACGCTGGAGCCGAGGCCGTCGCTCGCTTCTGCGCTGAGATCGATGCCGTGCTCCTCCAAAGCACTGAGCCGGCCGGAGACGCTCGCAACGGACGCCGCCTCAGGTGGCAGCGTGTTCTGATCGATTATCATCGCGCGAAGGTTGAGCACAGCTACAGCGGTGCCTTTGGCACCCTGTTGGTCGTTGCCGACGGACCATCAAGAATATTTCACAACCAAACTCACTCGCACAACACTGGGCGAGAGACTGCGAAGAGAGATAGGAAGAGGCAGACTCCCTAGGGTGGGCGACGGCTAGCGCACCACACACCTCTCCTTAAAATCCCTGTGTGGTGGCGGCGTGCCGTCCTCCCATCCCTCCCTTGGGTTGTCTGTTTTCTTTCTTTCTTTCTTTTACGGGGCACGGGAGTGGCGCGCACTGGCACTAACACAGGTACACCAAGAAACAACCTTTCCCACTGGGACCCAGGCGCTCTCCTGCCGCTGGCGTGCTCCGCCGACCCCGACGCCGACCGTCGGCGCTGCACGTGAGGCATAGCTACCCCAACGCCCTGCGAGCTTCCCCGCGCGCCCTGGGCGCCTCGGCGAGACCCCCCTCGCGAACCCTGTATTGCTACTCGATTTTTTAACAGTAGTCGATGGTTTAAGAGAGAGAGTTTTTGAAACCCTTCTTTTCATCAAAGACGCCGTAACTCGAGAGAAACGGGGAACAACACCTCTAATGTCGTCGCAAGAGGCTGGGGCCACCCCCACCGCGTGCGACTGCGCCTAGCTCCATGTCACCACCACGCGTTCGGCGCGCTCGAGCGGAGGCCCGCGCTGCGCCCACCGCACGAAGGACTTGAGGCGGGCCGAATCGCCTGCGGGCAGGGGGCGGGCAGGGGCGCGTCGCCAAACCACCCCGCCGCGCGGCGCAGCGAGAGGCCAGCGCGCGGGCGCGCCGGAGAGGCGGAGCGAGAGGAGCGTCGGGTCCTTGCGCTCGGACGCGAGCTTGAGGCCGCGATTGAAGACCGCCTCCACCTGCGGGGGCGCGCGCCACCCGCTCGCGCGCGCGGCCGGCATGCAAGGCGGGAGGGCCGCTGCCGCGGCGCCTGCAGGTGGCGGGTGTAGTAGTCGAGCGTGCGCTTGTCGCCGTGGACGCCGAGCACCGCCGACATCTGCGGGCGGAGGGTCACGAGCGGAAACGCCTCGTCGTAGCCGCCAACCGGGGCCTGCCACTCGACCTTGCACTCGACATCCGCCGCCGCCGACGCGTGGTCGACGAGAGCGTCGAGGTGTTCGCGGCCGCCCTCCGCGACAATCTCGAGTCGGGCTAGCCGCTCGAGGCTGTAGACGATGCCCGTCAGGCCCGCTGACCGGGCCATGCCGACGCATGATTGCGCGAGCGGCTCGAGAGAAGCGGTGGGCCCACTGAGCTGCAGCGAGACGCGGTTGCCCGACGCGAGCGGCGTGAGCTTCTGCTCCATGCCGCCCATGACGACCGAGGGCGCACGCGCTGCGAGTAGCTTCTGCTCCATGCCGCCCATGACGACCGAGGGCGCACGCGCTGCGAGTAGTGGCGGCGGGCCGGCAAGAGCCACTGAGGCGCAGAGGGCGAAGAGGCAGCCCGTCATCGTATTCGAAGAATTCTTGGCCCCTCCTCTCTGAGAAAGAAGAATTTTCAAAGCGTGGCGTCCACGCTGTTTGCGGCGGTGGCCAAGGAGGCGGAGCCGCGGCTGGGGGAGTTCACGCCGCAGGCGCTCGCCAACACGGCGTGGGCGTTTGCGACGGCTGGCGTGCCGGCGCCTACGCTGTTTGCGGCGGTGGCCAAGGAGGCGGAGCCGCGGCTGGGGGAGTTCACGCCGCAGGCGCTCGCCAACACGGCGTGGGCGTTTGCGACGGCTGGCGTGCCGGCGCCTACGCTGTTTGCGGCGGTGGCCAAGGAGGCGGAGCCGCGGCTGGGGGAGTTCAATGAGCAGGGCCTCTCCAACACGGCTTGGGCGTTTGCGAAGGCTGGCGTGCAGTGCATTAACCGCCGATGTGCTGCTGAAACTGCTGTGGGGCGTTCGTGTTCGTGTGGTGTGTTCGGTGACGGTGTTGTTCCTTTAGAATGGGTTTGAAGAGCCTTTACGGCTTTAGCTTTTTTCTGTCGTTAGACGTGGAGACGCGAGGGTCGCCCCCCCTTGCCCCACCACCTCGTGTGTGTGGAGAAGTTTTTACCTTACCTTACCTTACCTTACCTTACTCCTTAGCTTGTTTCCGCGTTTCTTTTAATAAAACCCGCAAGCCGCATTTTGCTACGCCGCAGTCGCCGGGTCGTAACCAGGCTAGTTATAAGGCTAGTTTACCAGCCTGGGCTACGAGGTGGTCCGCGACCTACGAGCTCGAGGGCTCGTTACGAACTAGCCCCATTTCCTCGATGTTGCGAGGACAGACTCAGACAAAACCAACAAAAAATCACGACTCTCACTGTCTTCTCTCCAGTCCCGGCACACATTCACGAGCGCGGACGCGCCTCGCCTCCCGCTCCGCCCTCCTTGGCGCCGCCGCCCTTGCTCTCACGCGGACCCGGAGAGGGCGCGCTCCTTCGCCGCCGCGCGCTCCTTGCCCGTCTGCGTCCAGACCTCCCTCGTCTCAGCGCCCTCCTCCGGCGCGCCGCCCGCCAGCGCCTCGACCAGCGCGGCCGCTAGGTCGCGCGGAGCGATCAGGCTGCCGCGCAGCTCCTCCTGCCTGCGCCCCGCGGCGCCCTCCTCGGCGAGCTCGCCGTCCTCCTCGGCGACGTCCGCAGCGGCCCAGCAGAGGGGCAAGCCCTCGCCGAGCAGCATGCCGGGCGCGGACGCGTCGATGGCGGCGGAGCGCACGACGGAGAAGGCCACGCCCGCCCTCCGCAGCGCGGCGCGCGCGGACGCCTCGCCTCGCCGCTTGCGGAAGCCAAACTCATTCTCCTGCAGCTCGTCGCCCGCGACGTCGTACCCGAGCGCCGCCGACCTGCAGGCACAGGAAGTGTCTCGGAAGTGTCTCGGGAGTGTCGGTCGTACCCCAGCGCCGCCGACCCCGACGCCAGCACAAACGGGGTCGGCGTGCCCTCGCCCGCCGCCGGGCCGCCGGCGCCTGAGGTAAGGCAAGGTAAGGTACACTTCTCGACACACACAAAGTGGGGGGGGAGGGCCAGGCGGCCCTCGCAACTCCACGACTAGACGACAGGAGCCCCGCGGCATTAACAGTGCAAGGCTCGGTGCGAGTGGGTGAGCGGTGTGTGTGTGTGTGTGTGTGTGTGTGTGTGTGTGTGTGTGTGTGTGTGTGTGTGCGTGTGTGTGTGTGCGTGCGTGTTGTGTCGCCGGCGCCTCCTCCGGTGAGGGCGGCGATGCGAGCGCGGCGTCCAATCTCGTCAGCGACCTGTGGCACCAGATGGCTGTGAGTACACACAGCTCAACGCGTGAGCAAGAGCCCAGCCTCGCCGGCGACCGTCGCCGCGGCCAGCGCCACGCCGTCGTCGTCGATCGCGCCCTCAAAAGCGCTGACCGACGACGCGCGCGCGACGCGCGCCTCCTCGTCCTACGCCGCCAACGCCGCCATCTCATGGCGCGAAGACACGAGGGGCACGTACGCCACCTCTGCCTCCGCCGCCTCGTCACGCCCCCCCTCGCCACGCCCGCTCTGCCCGCGCCCAAAGCCGGGCAGCCGCAGCTCAAACAGGTCCGCGCCGAACCGCCCGATCGAGCTCGCGGCGTCAGCCAGCCTGCCCGGCAGCCGCCGCCGCGTAAGCGGCTCAAACTCGGACGCGCACCTGGGGTCAGGGTCAGGGTCAGGGTCAGGGTCAGGGTCAGGGTTGGAGCCGCGGCTCCAACCCGCACATGCGCCGTGAATGCGCGTTCGCGCCGTGTGTTCGGGGCATCGCGTGAAAACGAGGGCTACGGAGACAACGGACGCCATTGCTGAACACGGCGGAATCCGTGTTTAGCCTCTCAGGCACGCGCACCAGACGAGAGCGACCGCTCCTCGCAGCGCCGCGCGCAAGTCGGGCTCGTGGCGCAGCTCGCACGGCACCAGCTCCAGCCGGTCCAGCCCGTACCCACTCTGCACCGTCTCGTCAAACTGCGACTGCGTCTCGAACGAGAAGCCGCCGCCGTCCTCCTCGGGCGCAAGGGCCCACGCCGGCCGGAGTGCGTAGCGGGCGTCCTCCGCGCCGACCTCGTACGACAGCCGCGCGTAATCCTCCACGCGGTCGGCCGAGCGGACCAGGGCGCGGACTGTCACCTTTTCTTGCGTGCGGAGGAGCTGGCGGCACACCATCGAACCGACCCGGCCGTTGGCGCCCGCGACGACGACGGTGCACGGACGCAGCGGAGGCGTCGGCCGCATGACGGGAGTGGCCACGGAGAACAACGCGAGGGCGGGGAGGGCTGGCATATGCGTATACGTGCGGCCCTGGGTTCCCTGGGAGCGGCGTCGAGCTGTGGGGGGCAGGCTGGCAAAAGAATTCTCTCTGGGGGTTCTCGAGGTGGATATCCTTTGGCCGCGTTGGGTAGCGAGGATTGGTGTAACCCGAGCCACGGAGGCGTGTTTTCTGGCGGCCGACCGTCAGTGCACGGAGTTGCCACTTCTCCGACTGCCCCGGCTAGTTCCCGAGGCTCGCCGGGTTTCCCCTACGTCACCCAGGACCTAGCGCGGGTGGGTTGGAGGGGGCTCGCCCCGTTCCTCCCCATCGGGCCGCGTGAGCGGCCTCGCCTCGCAGATTCGTTTTTCGCGCCTGGGTCAGGCGCGCGGGGCATCCCCCGGGTCGCTCGACCAGCGATCCGTAGAGTGGCCGCTATGCGAGGGAAAGAGCGGGGCCCTCGACGCCTCAGTCCGGCCCTCCGAGGGGGGAAGGGAAGTGCGGGGTCCCCACGGGCGCCTCAGTTCGGCCCTCCCGAGGGGGGGAGGGGAGCAAGGGGGTGGGGGGATTTGCCGACAGCGACACAGACCATGTGGGACGCGTCGAGTATCGACCTCTACTGCTTACCCAGCCTTCGAGTGTATCCTGGCTGTGGCCCCACACCCACTGGTGTCCATCTCAGAGACCGCAGGAGGTCATGAGGGTCGACGGGAGTGCCAACCCCACAATGCCTAAAAACCCAGCCCAGTAGCTACTCGACGGCACTCTCGGCCAACGGCTTCGACCCTGTCGCATTGACAGCATCGTGGGCCCCGAGTGAGGTGACCACCATGCAGCGCATTGTCATCGGCCGCGACGCGCGATTCCTGCTCTATCGCATGACCGAGACTGCAATGGCAACTCGGGCGGGCTCGGCGAGTTTGCAGTCGAGCATCCATAACCTTGTCTGGGGTCAAGCCTTTGAACGTACGTCGTACGACTAGGGACTACGAGTATCACGCTTTTAAAAAATCAGCGGGGCCGTGCCCCCCGAGTTCGAGCGATTGGTCCGATTACATGCCGAGCGAGCAAGCGAGGGAGATCGGAGACGTGATTCGGGGAGCGCGATGCGTAATTGCCCTCTTTGTTCACCCTCCCCCACCACCCGCTCTTACCCAATCCGCCTAGGATGGGGCGTCTAACAGCTCTCAGGACCACAGGAGAGTAGTTGCTTACTTCGTACCTTTCTCGGGTGCGGGAGCTCCCACACCCACTCAGAGACGTCCCCGCGCATCACTTGGGACCATCTCCAGGGCCAAACTCCTCTGGGCGCCGCTTTGGGGCGAACTTGCCTTGCTCCTTGTAGTTGTCGTAGATCTCGAGCGCGTTGAGGATGGCCTGGTCCATGTTGAAGTACTTGTACGAGGCGAGCCGGCCGACGAAGCAGACGTGGTCCTCCGCCTCGGCCAGCGCGCGGTAGCGCTCGTACAGCGCGCGGTTCTCCGGGTTGGGCACCGGGTAGTACGGGTCGCCCTCGGCGGACGAGTACTCCCTCGCAATGAGCGTCCCCTTGACCTCCCCGTTCTTGACCGCCTCGGGCTGGTTGGGCACGTGCTTGTACCTGGGTGGGGCTCGGGTACCGTGGGGTAGGGGAGGCACCCGGAGGGCGGTGGGGCGGGCGGGCGGGCGGGCGGGAGGTACTCGACGATGCGCGTGTACGGCACGTCGGCGGACGGGTAATTAACCACCATCGCCTCCTGGAAGTAGCCCTCCTCGGGCTCGGGCACCCAGACCTCCTCGAAGCGGATCGAGCGGTACTCGAGCTTGGGCATGCCCTAAGGCCAGGCCAGGCAGACTTCTCCACCCACACACACGAGGTGGTGGGGCAAGGGCCGGGCTCGTCCCTCGCGACTCCACGTCTAGACAGGCAGGAGCCCCACGGCATTCAAAGTGCAAGGCCCGGTGCGCGTGGGTGAGCGGCGTGTGTGTGTGTGTGTGTGTGTGTGTGTGTGTGTGTGTGTGTGTGTGTGTGTGTGTGTGAGTGTGAGTGAGTGTGAGTGAGCGGGTGAGCGACCTGCTGCGCAAAGTATGCGTCGATCGGGCCCGTGTACACAAGCATGCCTAACTGAGGAACTTGGGTCAGTGAGCGGGTGTGTGTGTGGGCGTCGATCGGACCCGTGTCCACGAGCATGCCATAGTCGGGCAGCGTGCCCGCCGCCCTCTCCTTGAAGTAGTCGACGCCCAGCCGCAGCGTGATGTTTGGGTCGTGGAGCAGCATGTTTTCGAAGATGCGCGTGTAGCCGTGCAGAGGCAGCGCCTGCCACTGGTCGCCAAAGTAGCGGTCGTCGGTGGTCGTGCGGCACGGCAGCCGCATCAGCACCGACGCGTCGAGCTCGGCCGGGTACTTGTCCCATTGCTTCTTGGTGTAGTGCTTGAAGATCCGCTCGTACAGCCGCGGCCCCACACGCGAGAGTGCCGCCTCCTCCCCGTTGGCCGCCTACGTGCTGAATACCCGCATGAATGCAACGACTAGGAAGACAGTGAATAGCGGACTACAACGGAATGCAGTGGAATCCGTCTCTCGAGCGCTGGTGGGGGTACATGAATACGTATTCAGCGTCTAGGGTTGGCCGCCTCGGCGCCGGGCGGCGTAACGCGCTCAGCGTCGTACCACGCCTGCATCTCCTCCTCGGACGCGACTGTCTCGCCGAAGAGCGTGTTGACCGTCTCCTGCGTCGGCGGGATGGGCACCAGCCGCTTGACGCCGTCCTTGTCCGGCACCTGCCCCTTGACGCGGTGGTCAAACGGGATCCACCTTGAGAACTGCTGCACGTACTCCCACACGCGCTCGAACTTGGTGTGGAACAAGTGGGCGCCGTACTTGGACGTGCGGATCCCGTGCTCGTCCACATAGTCGTAGCAGTTGCCTCCGATGTGGTCACGCACGTCAATCACCAGCGAGGTCAAGCCCTGCTCTTTCGAGGCGCGCTCGGCGATGACTGCTCCCGAGAGGCCGGCCCCCACGATCAGCAGGTCCACCTTCTTTGGCGCCGTCTCGAGGTTCCCAGACTTGACGTCTGTCGGGAGGTCGAGCGGCGCCTCCGACTTCTCTCCCTTTTCCTGCGACCGCACGGCAGCCGCGCGTGGAGTGAGGCGTCCAGGCCGGCCCGCGGCGCCGCAGCGTCTGCCAGAGGCTCACCTCGATCGAGTCGATGCCGACCGTCTCCTTGACCAGGTTGAGCGACGCCCACTCCGGCTCGGCGCGGCCACAGCCGACGGATGAGGCGAACGGGCCTGCGAGAGCAGTGCGGGCGCGGCGTGAGTTCTGGCGGGCGGAGAGCGAGGAGGCGAAGGACACCTTTCGGCATGGGCAGCAGGACTTGCGGTGGTGCCACGGCCGCCGGCCCCCTTTTTTTCAGGGACCTCAATGTGGGGGACTTTGGTTTCACAGCCAGGAATAGAGGAACCTCTTAGCGCCATCGCCACGGTGCTGCATGCAGCGCCGGGCGACGACGGCTTACCGCCTCCCGGTCCCCCTCGGCACACCTCCGCTGCTTAATGTTTGGCGACTCGAACCCGTGAAGCTTCCCACTGGCGAGAGTAATTTGGCGCATATCGCTACGCGTTCCTTCGGCCGTCCGCCACACCTCGGCGGTCGCCACATATCATGCGCACGTCTTCCTGGTGATATGGCGAGCTGGCTGGCTCTGGTGTGCGCCTCGCAAGGGCTCGATCCGGACTCAGAGTCTGACCCCTGCGCGGGCAAGTATGTGGCCAAGGCGATCAAGGACCCACACTGGGACCTCGCCAACGGCGGTCGCGCCGACTTCAGGGGCAAGCACAACTCGCTGTACAACTACTTGTCCAGGGTGTCTGAGGTGGGCTGTAGTCATACTACGTGGTTACAACCACGCGCCCCTCAGGAGCTAAGGTAGAGCTGAGCGTCCCAGACGCCTCGGTGCCTCCCACACCGGGTGAGACCATCCGGATCTGCCCAGCCCGCCCTCCGGACAAGCTGGTCCCCGCGATGGCCCACGGTCCTCCGCCGCCTGGTTGAACCCCCTGCCTCCCGGTTGAGCCCCCACTCCTCGTACTCGACCATTAAATAAACTCAGAGGTCCACCACAGCCACCAGCCTCCACCTCCACCGTCGAGCCGCGATCGCTGCCGCCCGCGACGTCGCCCGCCGCGTCAGATGCCCGCGACGCCCGCGTCGAGTCGAGTCGGAGAGCCGCGCCGCACCAGCAGCAGCATCTGCACCAGCAGCAGCACCAGCACCAGCAGCAGCAGCAGCAGAGAGGCGCCAATTTTGAGGTTGCCCGAGATAGCCTGGAGATGGCCCCGCGTTGTAGCCCTAGTAGCCCCGGTGCCGGCGCCTCACATCTCAGCATCCAGGGGCCGGTTCCGCCGCGCAGTCGAGCAGCAGGAGCTCGGGCACAGCTTTGTCGACAAACAGGTTGAGCAAAATTTTGGCGAAGAAGCGCCACCGGCGGCACGCCGGGATGAACCCGCACCGATCACATTGTGCCGAACCGCGGCGGCGAGCCGCCGCGGGCCCACAGGAGGGCTCGGAGCCGCGGCACCGGTCCGCGCCGCCAGCGGGGCGAGAGCACCAGCCTACAACCTGCCGACATGGCAGTTGCGATGGCGCTTTCACACACACACACACACACACACATGGGCCGGATCACGTTGGACCCACACCCTCGGCAAAAAGGCCCCCTCCCCCCCGCGCTTTTGTTATTTGTTTCCTGGCGCCACACAGTACGCCGACTCCCCGCGCCGACTCTCCGCGCTGGCGAGCCAGGCGAAACCGGCGCCTCGACGGGCGCGCGCATGTTCTCGCTGCTCGTCGGCTTTTGGCAGCTGCTCTTCCGTCGCGCTGAATTCCACGTGCTGATCCTCGGCGTCGACGCGGCAGGCAAGACCACCGTCCTCGAGCAAATCAAGGTGCGCCCGTGAGTCCCGGCGGGCATCGGGGACGCCGCCTCATGCGCCCCCTCCACTCACGTCCAGGCCACCTTTCTCGGTCGCGAGCCGATGCCGCCGGCGAAGATTGCGCCGACGGTCGGGCTCAACATTGGACGGCTGCAGGTGTGCACCCGCCGCGCGTGGGCACGCCGCTGGTGGTGGGCTCACGCCGCCCCCGTGCTCAGGTGCGGCGGTGCAAGCTCATCTGCTGGGACCTCGGCGGCCAGGCAGCGCTGCGCGCCATCTGGGAAAAGTATTACTCCGAGGCGCACGGACTGATCTACGTCGTCGACGCCGCCGACACGGAGCGGATAGACGAGTCGCGAAACGTGCGCGCGCCGCCCGCCGCGTGCCCGCGCCGCCGCCCGCGAGCCGCCGCTGTCGCCCGGCTCAGCCGCCGCTGACGCCCGGCGGAGCAGGTGCTCCACGCGCTGCTCGGCCACCCTGACCTCGCGGGCATTCCGCTGCTGCTGCTCGCAAACAAGCAGGACGCGCAAGGCGCGCTCTCGCCGCACGAGGTGGAGGCGCGGTTCGGGCTGCAGCAGGTGCTTGAGACGAGCCAGCCGCGCCAGGTCTTTGGCACCGCCGCTCTCACCGGCGAGCGCATCGAGGAGAGCATCCACTGGCTCGTGGAGGCGAGTAACAGCCGAGAGGTAGCCGAGAGGTAGCCGAGAGGTAGCCGAGAGGTAGCCGAGAGGCAGCCGAGAGGGAGGCAGCCGAGAGGTAGCCGAGAGGTAGCCGAGAGGTAGCCGAGAGGCAGCCGAGAGGTAGCCGAGAGGTAGCCGAGAGGTAGCCGAGAGGTAGCCGAGAGGTAGCCGAGAGGTAGCCGAGAGGTAGCCGAGAGGTAGCCGAGAGGTAGCCGAGAGGTAGCCGAGAGGTAGCCGAGAGGTAGCCGAGAGGGAGCCGAGAGGGAGCCGAGAGGGAGCCGAGAGGGAGCCGAGAGGGAGCCGAGAGACAGCCGAGAGACAGCCGAGAGACAGCCGAGAGACAGCCGAGAGACAGCCGAGAGACAGCCGAGAGACAGCCGAGAGATAACCGAGAGACAACCGAGAGAGCGAGGCCTGGCGCGCTCTCCTCACTGCGCACTCTCCTCACCGCTACCCTCTCTCCTACCGCCGCCACCCTCCTACTGCTGTTGCTGCTCTTTCAGGCGCTGAGGGACTCACCAAGGATTGGGTAGCGGCGCGACGGCATGCCGGCCGGCATGCATTTCGCCTGTGCGCAGCCGTGGGCGGGATCGTAGCCGCTGCGGAGGGGGCCGCGGGCAACGATCTCGGCGACGCCGCGCGTCTCCTTCTACCTTCAACGTGCCGGGAGGAAGGGAGATGTCCTCACCGGCACCGGAACCGGACCGGTCTCTCTCTGGCTCCATTGGCGTGTGCAGGGTGACCCCATGTACTGGACACCCCGCTCTCTCCCCCTTGTGATGTGACTTGCTTGTGAAAAAAAATTGCTTTAATCCGAAATACTCGGCACAGTGCGGCTATCCCCTCCCCCTCCCCCCCCCCCCCCCCCGTCCTCTCCGGACTAGACATGTGCGCTACATTGCCTAGGGGTGGGGTGGTGGGGCATGATGGCTTGTTGTAGTGGATATGAGTTGTGGGCGTGGGTCGCTGGCTTTCGCCAGCCTTTGCAGGCATCCTAAGTTCGGCGGCTCAGCCTCCTCTGCGCCAGGGATCGCGCGGGGCGCAGCACGCCCTGTGTCGTCTGCGCGAGATCCTAGTCCCTGGTTCACCGAGGCGCCCCCTACAGGGAGTCAGCTCAGCCGCGTTCCTTGTAGTGTGATGCCTTTAAGTCTTTAGGTGTTTGATGTGCTAAGCTTGTGAGGCCTTGACAAACTTGATCTCTCGTGCGTGAGTCGTCGCCTCTTCTGTGGTGAGGTGGTCGAGTCCCACTCTCCTTAGTTCTTCATTCACTCGCCTGCTCAGTCGTAGTCTGCCGTAGTAATCAATCGTCCCCATGGGTTCTACTTTGTCGCTTATTTCTTTCATGGTCGAATCGCTGACTCGGTCGCTCTTGCGTCTTATTCGTCGGAGCCTAGTTCTGGCCTCCCCCGAGTACGCTTGCATGTTTCTCACGAATAGGTTCAAGACCGCCTTCCAGGTTTGTTCGGGTTTGATGTCTTCTTCTTCGTAGAAGGAGACTATTATTTGGTTCCACATGTGTAGATGAAGTGCGTTGTGGACCTCAGGCGTGTCCGCCGAGGTTCCGATGATGGTGAGTAGTCTCGGCGGAGGTATGCTCAGTGACTCTCCTTGTGCAAAGACCGCCCGGACGACCGGGCACACGTCGAGGTGTCTCAGCGTTTCAGAGGTTCTGTTACAGAGCCTGCACCTCGTGTGTGTTGTGGTGTCTAGTCCGTACGCCTTGAGCTGTTTCCGGAGGACCAGCCTCCTGTTGAGAATATGTCTACAATAGTTGTCGGTAATTGTAGGCGGGACCAGAGTGCTGTGTATCGCTCTTGCAGCGTTAATCCATTCTTGAGGGTGGACTATTTTGTTGCTTGTCTCCACTCTGAGGCGGAATCTTGACGAGCTGTCGTGCGGTCGGTCGGGTCGCTGCACTCGTGCCCTGGAGTCTTTTCCTCCCTCTCTTATCCACCCTGGGTTCTGTAGGAAGTCCTTCTCCCAGTTTCTGAGGATCCTGGGTTGGGTCATGCCCTTTCTGCTCAGATACTTTGTGATGTCGCCGACGCTTATCTGATCGAGTGGTTTGTCGATCCCGTCGAATGTGAAAAAAAACTGTTCAGTTTTCAAAGGCAAAAACGCCAGCCTACGCCCTCCCCTCACACTGACACTTCTCCCCTATTCCCGTCTTTAGGTTGCGCACATCTCCCAGCGAGCTAGGTTCTCCGCTTTTTCTCCCCTAGTCATCTGCCCGCGCCGCGCGCCTCTGTGGGCGTCTAGTGCAGCCACTGACAGAACTGTTCCAAAGGAGTGGTCAACGTCTCGCCTGAAGTCGGGTGGGCTCGCGCACTGCTTAGCCCTAGGGGAGGGGTGTGTGTGAGGTGTCGGAATGGTAAGGTTTCAGGCCGCCAAGGTGTGGGGGATTTGGGGGATGAGTCAGGAGCCAGCAGCCTTCCTGCTGGACCTGAGTTCACAGCTCCTCCGCCCGACGGGGTGGTCCCTTGGATTCGGGCCCCGCTCCCTTTTCCTGCGCCTGGTCTGTCCCTGTCAAGTGTGTGTTGCGAGATGCAGAGCTGGTTAGGCTGGAGCGCGGGCGGTGCGGTGGCAGGCGAGGGCAGCGCGGTAGGCGAGAGGCGGCCGCGGGGCTTCGAGTGGCGCGATAGGAGGGTAGGCTGGCTGTGGAGGGGCGCCGCGTGGCCTCGGCAAATGAGTAGTGCTTTATGAGCGGCCAGTTTTGTGCGTATTGCATATCGAGCCTGCGGTGTGGCCTA